GAACCGGCCTGCAACCCCGGCATGTGCCCTGACTGGGAATCGAACCGCGATTGTCTGGTTCGCAGGCCCAAGCTCAATCCACTGAGCTACACCAGCCAGGGCTTTTTTAGCCCCTTCTTGCTTATAAGATTTCTTTTGAGAAATTAGCTGATAGCCTTATGGGAACTCTTTTGTAGGTAACTCTCTCCTTTCCTCTTGCTGCTTTTAAGATTCTTTCCTTATCATGGGTCATTTAGTAATGATGTGTCTTGGTGTGTTCCTCTTTGGGTCCAACTTGTTTAGGATTCTCTGAGCTTCCTGGACTTGTATGTCTATTTCCTTTGCCATATTGGGGAAGTTTTTCTTCACTATTAAAATAAGTTTTCATTTTCTTGTTCTTCCTTTCCTCTTTCTGGCACCCCTATGATTTGGATGTTGGAAAGTTTAAAGTTGTCCTAGAGGTTCCTAAGCTTCTCCTCATTTTTTTGAATTCTTGTTTCTTCACTCTGTTCTGGTTGAATGTTTATTTTCTCCTTTTGGTCAAAATCATTGCTTTGAGTCCTGGTCTCCTTCCCTTCACTGTTGGTTTTTCTTTATTCTACTTTGCACAGTTTTAACTTCTTCCTTTATTTTGTGGCTGTACTCAATCAATTCTGTGAGCATACTCATTACCAGTGTTTTGAACTCTGCATCAGATAGGTTGGCTATCTCCTTATAGCTTAGCTCTTTTTCTGGAGTTTTGATCTGTTTTTTCATTTGGGCCATATTTCTTTATCTTGGCACACCTGTTACATTGTAAGGGGCAGAGCCTTAGGTATTGACCAGGGTGGGGCAAACCTGTCACTGTGTTGTGGTGCTATATGTGGGGGAGGGGTTTAAGAGGGAACAGTGCTGCTCGTTCAACTCTTGCCCCACTTTCAGTCACTTCCCCTGCTACCCGCAAGCAAATTGGGCCCTTCTGGTGCTGATTCCCTGGTGAGTGGGCTAGTGTATGTTCTAGGACCCTGCTGGCCACTCCAGTGGACTCTCCTATGAGACTAGAAGTTTCTCCCACTGCCTCAACCCCCACAGGTTCTTACAGCCAGATGTTTTGAGGCTTTCTTTCCCTGCACTGGAACCCTGGGTTGCACAGTCTGTCTCTCTCCCCAGTTCTTCTTTGGCACTTGAATGAGGGACCACCAGCTGCTGCCTTGCCCCATGTCCTTTCTGCCCAGCTGTCCGTCTCCACCCCTCCCACTGGTCTGGATGAATGTTTCTTCTTCAACTCCTTGGTTTTTGGACTTCCACACAGTTTGATTTTCTAGTGGTCCTAGTTGTTTTTTGTTTTTAAATTGGTGGTTATCCTTCTTTTGGTTGTGTGAGGAAGTGAAGTGTATCTACCTACACCTCCATCTTGGGGGCTGAACGTTTTAACCCCTATTTTTTTTAAGATACTAGGAGAGAAAGCAGAAACAAATGGAAAGATGTGTGTGAGAGGTGAGATTTAAAGGAGAGAGATGAGAGTGCCTACAGAGGGCCTGTTGAGGTGGTTTATGCTGAGAAAAGCTCCTGGGAGTCTTTAGGTTTTGAAAGTGAGCAGTGGAGAAAGGCAGGCACGAGGCAGTAAACACTTGTGCTCTGACTAGCTGAGGACTAGGAGAAAAAAAGGAGCCAAATACTACACAAAAATAACCTGGAGCAGCCAGTAGGTGGACAAAGTTATGAGCCAGAGTCCAGAGAAGTGTTGGTAGCGTCAGCAAGTCTAAGCATACCATTTATAGGCAAGGTTCCTTTCCGTTAACATTTCATTCCATCTGGCACCTTTATTTGTTTAATCTTACCTTAATGAATGGTAGGAAAAAACACTGAAAGGAGACCAGTTTCTAGTCCCAATTTAGTCCCTAGCTAGTTGGGGTGTTGGAGGGGTGCTGTGGGTGTTTTCTAATCCAAAAATAAGGACATTGAATTAAATGGCCTCCAAGGCCATTTAATGGCCTCTGGCTCTAAAAAATCTGTAATCAGCTTCATCCCATCAGGTCAGAGCATAGAAGATAATCTGTGTAGTGATGCAGTGAACACCAAACAGTTGATAGAATGACTACAGAGTCAGAGGGATGATGAAAGAAAAAAAGCACTATTTCGTAATATATTTGGGACATTTTCCGTTGGAGAGGAATGTGGTCCCTGATGTCAGAGGCTTGTGGCAGCCAATTTTAAGGTTGCTTTGAGCATTTTAGCTGCCTAGTGAATTCCCTTGCAGGGGTGTCCAACCTGCGGCCTGCAGGTCGCGTTTGGCCCAGGATGGCTATGAATGTGGCCCAGCACAAAATCGTAAATTTACTTAAAACATTATGAAGTATTTTGGTGATTTTTGTGTCACAATGTCTTGTAATCACAAAATCAGAATGGCCTAAGATAAGTCTTCTTCCACTGTGGCTCAGAGATGCCGAAAGGTTGGACACCTGTGCTAGAGAACGGCTACTTTCTGGTGATAAAACCTTGGCTTTTCTTTGGAGGGGAGATGGGAGGTCCGACCTAAATTATCAAGGGCGGAATGCAGGTGTTCCTGGCACTGCCTTTCAGGAGTGCAGTGCCAGACCCTCCTGCTCAGTACTGTTCGGCTTTGCTGATGTCTCTTGCAGTTGGGACACAGGTCGCCTCTTGGATTGTGCCAGAATTGCTGTCTTCCTCCCCTAATATTTATCACTTTGTCATCCCTGACTCTGAATCCCAGAGATCAAGACTAACTATAGTACTGCAGAGGGGCAATAAATCCTTGTTTCTACTGCCTTTTCTCCAGGTTTGGTGTCCCTTAATTACCACATAACCACTGCTGAGGTTGCAACTTTGGGCTGTGTGTGCTATATTTGTGTAAAAGCTGCTTTGTCTCTCTACCCATTGTTTTGCAGAGTGCTACATGTGCTTTCCTCTTTTCTCCTGTGAGTTTATAGAGTGTGAATGTCAGGTGATCTATCCATCAACAGGGCTTGTCTGAGCTCCTGGGTAGTGGGTGGAGCGGACAGCCCTTAAATAACTCAGCAAAGTGATCTTCATTAACAAGAGAGGTGTTGGCTTTGCTAGTCCTTGTTATGTGAAGCTAGTCCCCTTCATTCTCTCAGCGCCTGGTAGGGGCTAAGCAGGCTGTGTGATCCAGAAAGGCCTCCCGTGAGCTTTCTCTTTGGTCCAGTCCAGCAGATCCCTTGTTAACAGACCGTATCAAAAGGGCCTGCTGCCTTTCATTTGCTTTTCCATTATGAAACCTCCAAGAATTTGAGATGGGGCAGGGGTGAAGAGTTCATAAATGAGGATGTCTACCTCTTTTCATTCCTAGCAAGGCTCTTTTGCTATTTGAAGGGAAGGTTCAGGCTTTAGAAACAGAATGTAGACAGGCTCTTGTACTTTTCCTTGCCTGCTGCTTCTTTACTGTAACTGTGCTTTTAGAGGATGAGGGTGAGGGGTGTTGTGTGGCAAACGGCAAGTGTTCAGAGAATCTTACTCCTACTCATTATTCCCTGCTGTTCCATATCAAAGCCCATGTCTCTTCTCTAAGAGTAGTAAACTTCACACAAAGCTCAGACTGCATGGGGGAATTGACTTCTTTGCTGGCAAAGGAGCAGATATGGTCTTAGAAAAGGAGAGGTCAAGCCTTTTTTTATGTCTATGGAAGTGAGGAGGGTTGAGGGAGAGAAGACAGGACCACCAATTGCTTTCAGCTGCTGAACCCGTTCTTTAAAATTTTTTAAAAATCCTCATCTGAGGACATTTTTTTCATTGCATTTCTAAAGAGAGGTAGGGGTGGGCGGGGGGGGGAGGGAGATAGAAAGAGAGAGAAAGAGTGAAAGACAGAAACAGAGAGACATTGATCAGCTATACATGCCCCCACCAGCGATCAAACCCACAACCTGGGTATGTGCCCTGACCAGGAATCAAACTCATGACTCTTTGTTCTACGAGACGATGCTCCATCCAACTGAGCCACACTGGCCAGGGCTGAACACCGTTTTTTACAAATATATTTTATTGATTATGCTGTTACAGTTGTCCCATTTTCCCCCTTCACCCCTCTCCATCCTGCACACCCCCTCCCACCCACATTTCCCCCTTTAGTTCATGTCCATGGGTCCTACATATGAGGAACACCTTCTTTATAGAATCCCATCAAATAGGGGTGCTGAGACAGGACCAGAAGTCATGAGGGGCACAGAAGCAGAATTCATTTCACAGCCCTCAGTGGAAGAGTACAAGGAAGTTGGTAATTTCTTTTATGCTTAATACTTATTTGCAAAGTGTCTTTAAAGCTGCTCTGCTAACCTAGGCACTCAGCAGTCTCTTTACTGAGATTGATTGGGTTTTGGCAATCTCTGTCCTCATTAAAGATTATCAGGCAGAAAAAGACCTTTTTGGTACATGTTGTTGTGGTTGAGGAAGGACAGAGCAGAGCTGCACTTTCTTTTTGAATAGAGGGCACAGTTAAGGGCTTGTTTTCTTTTTCTTCATGAGCTCTCTTCCCATCCCAAGCTAAAGCCCAGGTATAAGTTCTACAATATAGCTGGCACATCTGGTGACCAGTTAGAATTTAAAAATGGCCCTCTTAATAATGATGTTTGAAATAGGTGCATAGTTGAAACTTGGTGACATGAGATGCTAGCAGCCTAGGGTGACAGAGGGACCCTCATTTTGACCTGTAAATTGTGCAAATTTGATGGGGAACTCACCATGCAGGAATAAATTTAGAGCACTTAAGATGTGTTTTATAGTCAAACTGCTGAGCTTAATTAAAATTAGCTATTTAAGAAGTGGCAAAAAATTTTTTAAAAACCACCTATGGGCAGATAGGCAGACATGTGCATGGGAAGGTCAGTATTTTCTTCCAATATACCCATCTTACCTGCTTTTAAAAGTGCCTAGTAGCTGTGACTCACTCATTCTAGACCTATTTAGATTTCTATAGAGCTAGTTGATTTTTATTGCTTTCATTTAACTTTATTGATTATGCTTTGAATAGCTTGTTGATATCTTTTTTTGTTTGTTTTTTTTTAAAGCCTTGATAAATTTGCTGAAGTTCCTTATGTCAAATGAGACTGTACTTTTGGCCAAACACAACATTTTTACATTAGCCCTTATGGTGAGTAACCAAAAAATATTTCTTTTTCTGAAGATATACTTTAAGGCAGAGATGGGTTGTTTTGAAACAGGAGCTGGGTTCTGGGGACTAAGCCATAGGCGGAACCAGGCCTTTATTTTCCTTTTGGATCAGACTCTCCATATTGTGGCCCCCACTGTCACCTGTATCTTTAGCAAACCTGGGACTCTTCCCTTTTTATGAGAATATATTGTCTGGCAGCGGCAGGTATAGGTCAGATCTCTGTGTATAAGTAGTGAGCCTTGGTTCCAGTTGAGAGACTAGTGCACCTCTGTAGTACCTATGTTGGTACCTAGCAAGATCTCCAGAGGTGTCCTAGCCAGATGAGTGTTTCCATCATGTTTGCATTTAGTTTCTGAGGGACATTGCAGATGCCTGCTTATCTGACTGGTTATTTGGGGTGGTAGGAGGGTGCTGTGCCATTTTATGATCTTCTCAGGTGTTCATAAATGTTTAACATTTTGGGGGAAACAGTCCTGATTTATATCTTTTTCTGATTTCCATGGTAAAACTATACCCACCATGACCAGTTCCAAGCTGTTAACATCATATCACTGAATGCAGAGTTGGTGAAAGAGGAGCAGTAACACAGCACTGTACGATATTCCCAACATACCAGATGGAAGTGGGATAAATTAACCTTAAGAGCACAGATAATACTAAAAGAGAGAAAGTAATTAGGAAGTGACAAGATAATTTTAGTATTTATCACCTTCATTTTAACATAATTTATTGGATTGTAAGCTTATATAATTATTTTTTAAGAATGGATTTGTTTACTGACTAGCTCACAAATTCCTGAAAATTTAACAATCAGCCCTTGCAAGCCAGTAAGAGCTGGCTACAGTATACGAATAATAATAACCCTTCCAGTCTTCATAGCATGATGACTTTTGCTTCTTTTTTAGATTGTGAACCTATTTAATATGTTTATCACATACGGCGACACCTTCCTGCCCACCCCCAGCAGCTATGACGAACTCTACTATGAGATTATCCGCATGCACCAGAGCTTTGACAACCTGTACTCCATGGGTAAGCTGTTGTTCCTTTTCACTCCTCTCCTCCTTTTCTTTTTGCTCCTCTCCGCATCAGCTGTGATTTTTGGCGTATAAGAAGAAAATACTACAAAAGATTCTGTAGTTGCTTAGTGCCCTTTCTTGGCATAAAAATATAGTCTTCTTGCTCAGGGAAAGAATATGTGGAGTTTTTTGCCTTTAGGAACTCAGAATTCATCTCAGTAGAAAGCTGGTTTGCAGCCCTGTAGCCCTTTCTTGATGTTTGTGAGAAGGAGAGAGAGAACAGGGAGGCTTGTGGATTTAGTGAATGCAGTTAGATGGGAGTGAAAGAGTGGGTGGGAGCTGACAGCGGCGAATAGAAGAGCTTGGATCCCAAAGAACATTGTGTGATTTGAGAAGGTACAGGATTTTCAGGAGTTTTAATGTACCTATGTATTTTTAGCATAACTTACAAGAGGAAGTAGGCATTAAGATAAAAATTTTGCAAACCTTTTGGTGATTGGCTCACTGAAAATGTACTCTTTGGCCATAGTGGATATAACTACATATTTCTGAAAGAGGCCATGTATCCCTATAAGTGTGAGTAAAGAGTCTGGTCAAACCTTCTTGGACTTTGAAAGATCAGGCAGATTTCTGTAGATTGCACAGAAACAGAAATTCACTCAGGAAAGCTGTCTGTTAAAATCCCCAACTTACTAACTTTATTGAGATATAGCTGGTATATAATGAACTGTACTCATTTGAAGTAGTATGTACAATTTTTGATAAGTTGTGCCATATGTATATATCTGTGATAGCTTCAGGCTTTAGCACCCATTAATAAATGAGTAAAGATGTCTTTCAGTGTGGAGAGGAATGGGGGAGGTATTTTATAGAAGCCTGTCATACCTGCTGAACTGGGCTATGTATACAGTCAAATGAGGTAAGCCCTAGTACTATAGCAACAAGATAAGAGAGTATCTGGGAATGCTCAAATCTGCCCAGGAAATTAAAGTGTTAACCTGACAAATAGGCAAGTGAAATTTTCACTAAATGAAGCCCAATATCCCTCATGAATAATTGCAAATGAGGGGAAGGGAGGGAGAAAGAGACAGAAACATCAGCTGGTGATCGAACCTACAACCTAGGTGTACCCTGACTGGGAATTGAACCCAAAGCCTTTTCGTTTAAGGGACAGGACTCCAATCAACTGAGCCACACTGACCAGGGCTATAATTTTCTTTTCTTCTAATGTCATTTTCTTTTCTGGCTTTAGCATCAGATAATGTTACCTTATAAAATAAGTCGAAGAGTGTTCTCTCACCCTCTATTTTCTAGAAGAATTTATTTAGAGGTGATATAGTATTTCACCATTAAATGTTCAGTAGAAATTGTCAGTGAAGCCAGCTTACTTTCTTGGATGATTTTTAACTATGAATTCAATTTCTTTAATTGATGTAGGACTATTTAAGTTATCTATTCCTTTGGAGTGACTTCTAGAACTTTTTGTCTTTCAAGGAATTTGTTTTATTTCCTTAAGTTGCGGGTATTATGGGCATATGGTTGTTTGTGATATTGACTTATCTGTACTGATTCCCTTTCTTTCTTTCCTCGTGTCGGTAATTTGTATCTTCTCTTTTTCTTGGTCAGTCTGGCTATATGTATATCAAGCTTATTGGTATTTTTCAAAGAACCAGCTTTCAGTTTTACCGATATTCTTTTTCTTCTGTTGTTCTGTTTTCATTTCACTGATTTCTGCTCTTTACTTTCTATATTGCTTGCTTTGAGTTTCATTTGCTCTTCTTTTGCAGTTTTCTTAAGCTTGAAGTTACATTGTAGTATAAATATTTAGTGCTATAAATTTCCCTCTAAGTACTACTTTAGTTGCATCTCACAAATTTTTATTTGTTATGTTTTCATTGTTATTCAGATCGAACATATTTTTAAAAAGTTTTTATTGTTGTTCCATCACAGTTGTCCCCATATTTCCCCCAGTGCTCTCCCCTGACATGCTCAGCCTCCTTCTCCCACATAAAATCCTGCCCCCGCCCCTCCCCCATGGTCCTTGTCCTTTGGTCACTGTCAGTTTCTTCTTTACTTCCATGTCTCTGATTCTGTTTTGCTCACTTGTTTTATTGATTAGGTTCCACTTACAGGTGAGATCATATGGTATTTGTCTTTCACTGCCTGGCTTATTTCACTTAGGATTATATTCAGTAGTTCCATCCATGCTGTTGCAGAGGGTAAGGAGTTCCTTCTTTCTTTTTGCTGTATGTAGTATTCCACTGTGTAAATATTCCAGTTTTTTAATCCATTCATTTACTGATGGTCACTTAGGCTGCTTCCAGCACTTGGCTATTGTAAATTGTTCTGCTATGAACATTGGGGTACATAGGTTCTTTTGGATTGACATTTCAGGATTTTTAGGGTATAATGCCAGCAGAGGAATCACTGGGTCAGAAGGCATTTGCATTTTCAGTTTTTTTGAGGAAACTCCATACTGTTTTCCACAGTGGCTGAACCAGTCTGGGATCTCACCAACAGTGCATTAGGGTTCCCCTTTTTCCACATCCTTGCCAGCACTTGTTGTTTGTTGATTTGTTTGTGATGGCCATTCTGACCAGTGTGAAGTGGTATCTCATTGCAGTTTTAATTTGCATCTCTTTGATGACTAGTGATGCTGAGCATCCTTTCATATGTCTCTGGGCCCTCTGTATGTCCTTCTTGGAGAATGTCTCTTCTGGACCTTTGTCCACTTTTTAAAATATATATTTTTAAAGATTTTATTTATTTATTTTTAGAGAGGGGAAAGAAGGGTGAAAGGAAAGAAGAGAAGCACCAGCGTGTGTTTGCCTCTTGAGTACCCACTATGAGGGACCCAGCCAGCAACCCAGGCATGTGCCCTGACTGGGAATCAAACCAGCGACTCCTTGGTTCACAGGTTGGCACTCAGTCCACTGAGCTGCACCAGCCAGGGCCTTTGGCCATTTTTTAATTGGATTGTTTGTCTTCCTGGTGTGGAGTCATATGAGTTCTTTATGTATTTTGGAGATCAAACCCTTGTTCGAGGTGTCATTGGCAAATACATTTTCCCATATGGTTGGTTCCCTTTTCATTTTGCTGATGTTTTCTTTAGCTGTGCAGAAGGTTCAACATATTTTCTGATTTCCCTTATGATTTATTCTGTGATCTTTGGATTATTTAGAATCGTGTTTTGTAATTTCCCAATATTTGGGGATTTTTATAGATATCTTTCAGCTAATAATTTCTCATTTAATTCTGTTTGGCTCAAGGATATTCTTTGTGTAATTTCCATTCTTTGAAATTTATTGAACCCTGTTTTATAGGCCAGAATATGGTCCATCCTGGTAAATGTTCCCTACACACTTGTATTCTGATCTTGGAGTGAAGTGTTTTATGACTTTCAGTCTGGTCACGTTGTTTGATAATGTTCTCTGTTTTCACAGACTTTTCTACTTGTTCTAAAGGAATGGAGAGGACTATTGAAACTCTTAATTGTCAGTTTGTCTATTTCTTCTTTTGGTTCTTTCACTTTTTGGTTCATGCCTTTTGTAGCTCTGTTGTTAGGTGAATTAACCTGGAATTAACCCAATTATCACTGTGTGGTGTCCCTTTTTATCCTTAGTAATATTCCTTGTTCTGAAGTCTGTTTTGTCTGATACTAATATAGCCATCATGATTTTCTTTTGATTAGTGTCTGCATGTCTATCTTTTTTATCATTTACTATTAAATTATTTATATCTTTATATTTAAGTGGCTATTTTGTACAGAGATTATAGGTGAGTCTTGTTTGCTAACCAGTTTGAAATCTCTGTCTTTTATTTGGTGTTTAAACAATATACATTTGATGTAATACCTGATATACTTTTTTTTTAGTTCTGTCACTTTCTATTTTCTACTTTTCTCTTTTGTTCTTTTGTACCTCTTTTTTTGCTTCTTTTGGATAATTTGAATATTTTTAACATTCTATTTTAATTTATCAACTGGCTTTCATTATATTTCTTTATATATTTTTGGCATTTGCTCTAGGATTACATTTTATATACCTTTCCAAGTCTACTTAGAGATAGTGTTGTGCTACTTAAATAAAATATAAAAGCTTTGCTATTGTATAGGTTTATTTAATCACCAAGCCCCATCCTTACTTTGATATCATAGTTGTAATATATATTATATTTACATGCAGTGAAAGCCCCACCAGATAATGCAATAGTATTTGCTGTGACAGTCATTCATATTCTAAAGAACTTCACAGGGATATATATATTTTTTATATTTACCTAGATATTTTCCATTCTTGTTGCTTTTTTTATTCCCGAAGAACTATTTCTGGTGTCATGTCTCTCAGCCGTAAAGAATTTTCTTCAGCATTTTCTTTAAAAGGAGGCCTTCTGGTGACAGGTTCTCTGTTTTTCTTCATTCCTGAAGGATATTTTTGCTAGATAGAGACTATTGAGTTGATAGTTTTTTTTTTCTTTTATTCTCACCCAAGAATATTTTTCTTATTGCAGAGAGAAAGAGAGAGAGATTGATTGATTGATTGATTGATTGATTTTCTTCTCATATGTGCCCCAACTGGGGATTGAACCTGCAACCTGGGTATGTGCCCTGACTGGTAATCGGACCCATGATCTTTTGATCTATGAGACAATGCTCCAACCAACTGAGTCACACCAGCCAGACAAGTTGATAGTTCTTAAGTATTTTAAAGATGTTATTCCCCTTTTTCTAGCCTCCATGGTTTCTAAAAATAACTCTGTGGTCATTTAAATCATTGTTCTCTTGTTTATAATATGTTTTCTCTGGCCTCTTTTCCTTTTCTTTGGCTTTCAGCAGTTTGATTTGATATGTCTAGGCATTTTTTTTTTCTGAGTTTATCCTGTTTGGTGTTTGCTGAACTTGAATCTCACCAACTTTGGAAGTTTTCAGGCATTCTATTTTGTAGATTTTTTTTCTGCCCCAGTGTCTTTCTCCTCTTCTTGGACTAAAGTAACACAAATGTTAGACTTTTTGAT